AAAAAAGAAAACTTCCAGATGTCTAAGCAGGAGAATGATATGATTGGGTATAAACCACTGTTCATTGCTAGCCTGTTTACCAGTCCACTCTCAAAGCATGAAGTTCTAGTTAATAATTACTTCACTGTGAAATGCTGGCAAATGAATATTTTCACAGAAATCACCAAAGCACCGGTGGGCACTGGAGCCACAGAAGGCACTGGAAGGACTAAAGGAGCATAGATGAGGTCCTGAAGCCGATCCTTGCCCCTGGGTCCTCCGCGCACACCCAGCATCAGCCTTGGCTGCATCCAGGCCCACTGGCCTGAGGCTGAGGGCGCACAAATGTAGGTCATGGACAGTTCTGTTCAGGACCTAAAGAGTCTGCCAAGGAAAATGCATAGGGATGTCTCTGAACTGAGTGAAAACAATAAAACCACTTAATGAAGAGTTTCAGTGCTTCATAAAAATGTAATATGTGCTGTAAGAGGAAATAGTAACCACAGTAGAGTTTTTGAAGATTTTTTAAAAAATTTATTATGTTAACAAATTCTCCATCGAATGTGTAGACTTTGAGATATTGTAGATAGTAAGATTTATCTCAAAAATAATTATTTTCAATGGGAATGTTTCTCAAATGTCAGCTAGTGAACGTTTTTAAAGTGGTCAGATACCCATACAATTTACCATTTTACAATATACAGCTCAGTGGCACTAAAGACAGTCACAAATTTTGTGCAGTTAGCACCATTATTGATTTCAGAGTGTTTTCCACTCTGCTGATTAAACATTAGCTTCCTATCCCCTCCCCTGCAGCCTCGATTCTACTTCCCATGTCTGTTATTCCGACTCTGGGCACCTCATATGTGTGGAATAAACATTTGTACCTTTGTACAACATTTGGAGCTTATTTCACTATGTTAATGTCTCTTCGTGTTGCAGCGAAGGTTGGGATCTCCCTTGTCAAGGAGGCGTCACCCACTGCATGGATAGACTGTTCATTTATTCCTTCATAGGCTGGCGGACACAGCTGACTTTTAACTGATGAGAGATGTGATAAAAATGTTGTTTGAGAACTACAGCTTTTCTGAATGAGATCTCAGGATACATGGTGGTGCTTTCAAATACATGCATTTAATTATTTGAACAATTTCAGAAAATTATGAAGAATAAAACACAGCTTTA